AATATCTTCTTGAATTTCCCATGCAAATATATGGAACTGATGCTCCAATATATCAAACTCCCGCTCAGCGGAACGTCCGCTATATCGAACGCTGCGCGGCGTCGAAGCCCACGAAGTGGATTTTTTCTAGCGAGTAGTATTGATCAACTTCCACCCCGTTCTAACAAGTTCGGATTCCTTTGCGTGCACTGGTTATGAAAAGGCAGTATTATTCCATCGCGCTAATATGGTTCGTTGCTTGGCGCTTGAGTGCGCGCCAGTATGTTTGATGCGCGATCTGCAGGTCTTAAGGGGGGAGGCTACCTTCGAAGGGCAACTTTTTTGTTTGTTGAGATATCTTAATGAAATTTTCAGGGTACACTAATAGCAAAGCCATTTGAATAACCACAAAGTTTCATGCAGTTATGTTCACTGGTTCCCAAGTTACAGCCATTTATCAGGGTAGTCCACATGGGCCCTTAGTCAGGGTCTGGAGAATTTGAAAAATGTGCTAGCACTGTGAAATTCACTATGATGATTCCTGGATAGGTGCTTTAGGGCAAGACAGAGCCCTTTTTTTAAATTTCCTTGCCAAAAAATGTTAGCAGAGCACTGAATTTAGTGTTCACAATTTGGCTCTCATCAATGAAGTTTTAGTTAATTATTACAAATTACAGACACAATAAATTGAAAAAGCGGGCTTGTCTTGCCCTGGGCAATTTATTAAGGTGCATAATAAAAAAAACCTGATAGAAATCAGACTAGCAGTTCCAGAGAGATCACCTGACTAAGCCTCAATGGCCAAAAAAGTCATTCTGAGAAAATTGACTTCGAAAGTTTCAAACATTTATTATGGTCTAAAATGACCCTGCAGAGTAGCTAGATGTGTCCTTAGGCTCTCTTTTTCTTTGCCGCTTTTCCTGCTTCTCATTCATCCGTTTCTGAGCCTTTCTCAGACGCAGAGAGTCTTTCTCCGCAGCTCGTTGAATGGTTAGATGGCCAGGTGCGAGTCCCACTGATGACGACAACTCTTGGGTGGCCCTGTAGCAGCCGGCATTATACCGCAAAACTGCGTCATGCAGTGCTGTCTCGACAGCAATCAATGATGCATGTTGCTCCTTGGGCATCAAGGACCATAGGACAGAATGGAATGACTCCGATGCATTTTGCGTCTTTGCTCCCAGGCAGCGTTGCAGTAGAGAAGCCTGCGAAAGGCGCTAGTAGACTGGCAGCAGCGCTTCTGCAACGTAGCCCGGAAGATTGTATTTGTGCTTTGGAGGTGGCACGCCATTCCCCTTGCAGGCATTATGACGGCACCACGAGTCTGCACCTTCCGGGCACAAGTCATGGTGAGGATCCTCGTCAGTTGAGGTGACGTGATAATATGACGCCATCACTGCACGCTGCATTGCAGCCACATTGTTTGAATTGTTCCGCAGTGCCCAGCCATAATCGTCTGTGAGTTTATCAATAAGGGCTTTTGTCAATCTGCCCTTCCCTCCCAGAGCCTGTTTGCTTTTCTGCACAAGATTACGTAGGGCTGTGCCCATCCTCTTCCGGACATGGTTCAAGCATTCTTCTTTCACAATAGAGACTAGCCCATAAACATTGTCTTGTTGAAGGGCAGAGAATGTGGCGCTGTCCCCATCAGATACAATGGTTGTATACCGGAGGTTATGCTTGGACAGTGAACGTGAGAACAGAGTTACAGCCGCTTCAACCTCCATCCTCCCAGACTTGGCATCAGTGTTTTTTTTGCACACATGGTGCTTCAACCAGCTTGCATAGCCCTCGTCTTCAGGCTTCGGTCCTACCTGGCAGCCGAGACACTGATTCGATAAAACTACAGCATCCAAGATGAGGCCTGTGTGATACTCGATGATTGCACCAACTCCAATGTGAGATGTATGTCCGCGCTTATGCCACGTGCCATCATAGTTCACTGTAATGTCCTTGCAGAAAGATGGGTCCATCTCCTTGTACACCTTTTTCACAGCAGAAGCCGATTCTTCATAGAATTTATCCAGGGTCTGTTGCTGTGGTTCTCCGAATTGCTTCAGGTGCCTCTGGAAAGTTCTGTGGTGCAGGCCACGGTGGGAAACATTCATAGTTGCCCAAAAGTCGTTGAGGCTGTCTGTCCCTTCCCTATTAGTTTCATGGCCGTAATGGCTCTTATATTCACGTCGAAGGCCCTTGACTCGTTCTGACGAGCAGAGCTCCACGAACTTGAAACTATTCCACAATGTGGACATACCAGCTCAAGCTTCGTGGCAAGTCCAAGCTGGGTGCCTCCTTGAACTTTCATCCCGGTCGCGAGGCAGCGCGGGCACGGGGTCTTGGACTGCATGTCGCTAAGGGCATCCCCTTGCACGAGGAAATATCTCTCGCCTTCGGTCGTAGCGGTGGCAGCTTCGGGTTCAGGCATCATCGCTTGAAACTTCCTCTCGGTCGCTGGCATAGCGCCAAGCTTTCGTTGCACAGCAGCACGTTCTCTCGCCGCCGTCGCCAACTCCTCGCACGTCCGAAAACGTATTTGGAAGTGCACAGTCGACGACGCGGTCTCACTGTTCGGGGACGGAATCAATGCGGTTGGCGAGCGCGACACACCAGGCGCACTTGAGCACGAAACACCAGCCTCACTCGTCACGGCGGATCCTTGTGCCGATGGTGTAGAAGTCTCGTCGCTAGAAGCGTCGACGCAATCGTCTTGAAAAGATGAAGCGGAAGCATCGGCGCAACTGTTGCCGCGCGTGGGCGTGCAGGTGAGCTTCGCCATGCGTACGAGCTTCAGCTGACGCTTTCTTGAACTGAACGCGTGCCGAGTCTTGAACTTCGAAATGCCCATCGTGACCGTCAGCGCAACAATCCGCGTCCCGTGAACACGGCGGAAGATCGTCTCGTGAGGACGGTAGTGATCGTCTCGTAAAGACGGTAGAAGATCGTCTCGTGAAGACGGTAGAAGATCGTCTCGTGAAGACGGTAGAAGATCGTCTCGTGAAGACGGTGAAAGATAGAGGAGCACGTGTGACAACCGATCGGAATGATGGCAAACGGGGCACACAAAGAACGCCGGCACTGCAAGCGCCGGTGCAGACGACGAGCCGGCGCATGCCGGAGAAGCAGCTACGTCATCGCGCACAGCAGCCAATAGGAGCCGCGCGTTCCCCCATTCCCTCGAGAGGCGCGCGTTTTGTCCAATCGCGGCTTCGCATCCAGGCAGCGGGACATTCGAAAGCTTTCGCGAGCCCCCCAATCGTGAGCGACTCCCGCCTCGGAGCGCCACCGCCACTGCCGCGGGTGGCCAAAAAAGAAAAAAAGCGCAAGAATTCACGAGCAAAACAACATCAAGATGGCGGCGATCGGCCGAGCGGTTGGGAAATGGCGAGCGCGCGAAGTTGGGGTATTTTTGGCGCTCGCTCGCCGCTTGTCGCGGCATGTTATAAAATTTATTTGACGTACTTTCGCGATGAATTAGACATTGATATTTACAGTAGAGGCAGTTTATGAGTCATACTGCCCGAGTATGTGGTTTTCAAAAAATCGACTTTTTCGCGATTTTTCGGTTTTCAAAGGGCGCGTCCCCCCTTAATGCCCGGGCATAGTGTTCTTCAAAAAGACCGATTGCCGAGGACACCCAAATGAGAATAAGAAGTGACTCTGCGATTCGCTATCCCTTCCTTGTTTGTTAGCGCACAATGACATGGGAGCCTGAAAAGCATAGCCGTTGAAATGTGCAATCTTGTGACGCACTTTTAGTGTTCCCAGTTTTAAAATGCATGTCTCGAAGGCTATGCTTTTTTCGCATCAAAGCAGCATGTGCTAGCTACAAAGGCACAAGTGACATTGATATCGCCAACATGTCGACTGTGGGAACTTGTCTTTTGCACCTTTTCGGGGGGGGGGAGGGGGAACAATGCCTTCCTTCGCGTGCCTTTTGGACTTGTGTACTTTTAGCCTTGTATCTGATAAACCCCATTCGGGAGTTGAACTGAACGTTGACTCGCACATAGCGATAAAAATTATGACTGGTGCTTGGAGCTACGTCAAGTAAAGTACCGTCATAACCTTTTCTTGTAGGCCCAGTGACGACTTCGGGTGCGTCGCGACCGCTGACAAAGGCGTACGGTGCCTCGGTGAATTCTGGAACTTCGCATTTCTGGGCACCATCTCGGACAGCGAGCGACTTTATCAGTGCAGATGACGAGGTAGCTGTTTCTGACTGCATCGATGCTGATCATGGCTTCCCTGCCGCCTCGTAGGAAACATAGCCGGGCTACAAAGCTCACATCGGCGTTCTGCATCAATCAATGCTGTTGTGGCCAAAGGAGCTGAATTAGCTTATTTGAAAAGCTTTAATGACATTAAGGATGACTGAAATGCAACGGCACGCAAGCAAAAAAGTTTACGGATCATTTTCATGCGACATAAAGTGCAATAACTTTCAGTTCACAACTTGTTCTTCATTATACTGTGAGCGAATCATTATGTAAGCACTTGTAACAATTTCCGAGGCCTGAAATGCTTTAATTTAAGCCTTAAAATAGACATATTGTGTATTCCAAATATCGATATATCGAGCTATTTTGCGATCGCCTTCGAGTTCGATATATCCAGGACCAACTGTATTAGTTTGTGAAGTATAATAGCAAGGACTAGAATATTCTATGTGCATCAGAGCATCTTCCATGGCTTTACCATCACACGAAACGCTCTTCGATCGGGTTAATCGTGCTATATGAAACTGTTCCTGTGACGCCGCGATTATGTCCCATCTTGGCGTGACCGTGGAGTGCTTTTATATACTTGCAAAAGACCATATCTTTGATGCAATTTCAATAAAAATCATTTGGAAGCACACCAGCATTGCTTGTCAGAGTGCCTGGAAAGCTTTTTTACACAACCATTCTGAGAAGAAAGTATGCACAACGTAAGTGATTAAAGAAGCTGTATGGTTGCTAAACATCTTGAATTTGCAAAAATGTTTACAAACTGTATGATCAGCCTAGCACTGAGTTGCCTACCTTTGCCATTTGTGTAGCCACCCCTCCTGGGAGGCCCACCCTGGCCGCCTCTCCGGGGTCTCCGGTCATCAGCCGTGGGCATTGCGGAGGCTCTGGTTGGTGAATGTCACAGTGGGGATCGGCATGTGTTCAGAATAGTCCTATAGTCAGCGGGGGCAGCTGTGGTTGGTGCGGCGGTTGGTGTGGCTGTGGCGGGTGTGGCTGGGGATGCGGCGGTTGTTGCTGGACAACAGGTTGTTGCACTGGCTGTACCACAGGCTGTGGATGAGGTGGGAGGGGGTGGCTCATTAGCGGCTGGTGAGGAGCGCCGTGGTGGGGGGGAGGAGGCACAGCCGCCACGGGATGGGGCGGGGGCCCGGCGGCCAGCACGAAGCCAGCGGGCTGGACGATGGCGGCAGGTGGAAGAGCCATGGCAGGCACCGAGGGGAGGGCCGCCACGACAGCCGGATCCATGTGCGGCGACTCGAGGTCGATCTGAGACTCTTGGAAGAAGTCGAGTCGGCCTGGGACCAGGGATGGAGCCTCCGCTACCGCGGCAGATTCGGAGACTGCGTCACCGGGCAGCAGCGGAGATGGGGCCGTGGTCGCTTGTACAACGGGTGCCACCGGCATGGGGGTCGTCTCGGTCTCCCGCAGGGGGCTCGGCACTGTTGCTACCGGCTGTGGAAGTGGTGGTTGCTGCTGCTGTGGTGGCTCTACCAAGGATTCGGGCACCTGCGTACACGAGCCAGTCCAGTTGCGTGCTAAAAGTACGCGATTTCGTTTCTTCGAAACCCACTCAAGTAAAGAAGCGAGATCAGGAAAGTTTTAAACATGCATTGAAGGGCCCCTATGCCACCCAGAGTTCAAAATGTGGTTGTGGTGGGTAAGTAAGTGTACAAGTCTTCAATGAATATGTAGCTGTGAGAATTTTTCATAACTGTGCCGTAATAGCGGTACTAGACACAGATTTGATGATCAAAACACTCTGATAGCTCCGTTCACTCTTTCCTTCACTACCCTCAACCGGTCTCTCTCCAAAAGCTACATAAGCCCTCCTCACCGAAAGCCCCTCCCAGCCATGCGTGACATGCATCACTGCTGATGCAAGGTGATTCCGTCAACTTCAAGCTTGTTGGCAAACTGCTGTTGCCGTACTGGCCCATACCCCTACGAATCGTGCTAATATGGACCCTGTTTTGAGTTTGCCCTTTTAAAAGATTGTCAACATGATGGGTCCGTAGAATGACATGCCGTGCAAGAGCTTCTCCACGCGAGATAAGGAGCCGGCGGTTTATCTATCGTGTGGTTCTTATTTTTCCAGATTTTTTTCAAAGCACTGTTTTTCCAAATATGCATTCCCAGTGAAGTACAAGCGACAACAGTTTTCATATTGGGAGATCATATGAAAGGAAAGCTATTAAGCATGCTTTTAGAGGTGGAAGTGGGCTTCAGTCATTTAAAGCAGCTCAAAGATCAGTAAAAATGATGTTTTGAAGTAGCTTTGGAGCAGTAAAAGGGAAATTTCGGAGCTGCTTTGTAGCACCAAAAGGCGTGCTTTGGAGAAATGCAAGTTAGTTTCGGAGCAAATTTCTAAACTCGCACATAACTGTAAAGTTTCATTTTTCATCTTGAAACACACACACACACACACACACACACACACACACACACATAAGTTCAAGCAGTTAAAACATGAAATTGTTAAAGCAAAATAATTTTTAAAAACTGTAAGTAAGAAACGCTTTGGGTAGCCAATATAGACCTCAGACGAATTATAACATTAATGTGAAAAGATTTAATAGTGCACTACAGCACACATGAATAGGAACTGGTGACCAGAGATGCCCTAATAAAAGTTATCGCCATTCTGAGCGTGTGCTAGTCTACAGCAGGATGAAAGCTTCGCCCAATGATGTCCAGTTTACCCTATCCTGTGCTTTCACTTCATCCCAGCAAACTTCCCAATTCCGTCACTCCGTCTAGCCCTATGCATTGTCCTGCTGGATTTTCCATCCTTGTAAACCAATCTGTTGCTCTTACTGCCAACTGGTTCAAGTTCTACACATCACATGACAAGCCCAGGTCCATTTTTTTATTGATGTCACCTTTGATAACTGCAACTACTGTTTATTCTGCCATCCTATGATATCTCAATGTTATTTGTATCTCTTTACGTTCCCAAATACCACTTCCAAAAATAAATTGCGAAATCTTATGCTCTGGACGAAGTGCCATAGCTGGGTCCGTAGCTAATAAAATGTTTTCGGGGGGGGGGGGGGGGGGGGAAGCAAGCACTTGCAAAAGGCCTTAAAGAACCCCCATTTTTACTATTTACTTTCGGTAAAACGCCCCCTGCATCAAAATTTTGAGGGGGGGAGGGTGGCCCGTTCACCTCCCCAGGGCTGCGGGCCTGGCCACGGCCGAAATGAGAGCCACGCGCCAATTCTAGGCGATGGTACCGCAAGTTGTTTTTTATTGAGAGCATTATTGCTGCCGTTGTCATTTTATGTTCTTACCCGCGAGTAAAAGTGCGCGAGTGGGGCGATGACTGCTGCTAAAGCAAAGATCAAACGAGCCGGCCCGTTTCTGCTGCTCACAATACACATGCGACAACATCCTGCAATCTTGATAGCGGGATGAAAAAAAAAGGGGGGGGGGGGGGAAATGCCCAAGCAGCAGCTGTGACCTTCGATTCTAAAGACGCCGTTTTGATTGCTGCCTATCTCGGCAAGCATCAGTGCAAGTCTAGCATACCATTTTACATGCTGTGCTCTCAATGCGAAAAGACTGAGCGAAACGATCCTTTCTCCTTGAAGCGGCGGCATTCTCTTAGAGTTTTGTAGAGTTACGCGATACTGGAACAAAAAGTAAGCTGCCAACCTTACTTCGTACAAGAATAAAACTAGGTGCCACTGAATTCATTGTTGCACCCTTGCGGTGAAACCAATTTTGTAGTTCTTTCGGCTTCTATGCTTTGACGGTCTCCATCGCAGAGTGCACGTAGTGCCGTTGTGTTCCACGGATGCTTGGCAACGGTGTTGCGAGCTTTTTTTTTTTATCTACTCATTTTTCAAAACAGCTGCAGTCTTGATAACAGAATTCAAGCATTTTGTTCCTGTGGCACAACATTCATGCATGGTGTTGAGTTCACGCCAGGTGCAAGCACATTTCTCCAAAATACGACGTGAACGAACCACTTGGAATACGAGTATGATGGCGTTCGTTGCATATCCAACGCGTAATGCTTAGTAAAAGATAAGACTATGCTAAAATTGGCACAGTATAAGCAAATGCCCGTTTATGCACAGCTTGCTTGGGGTAAAGATGAGGCAGCTGTAGCTTGTCCTTGTCCACATATAGTACAAACATAAGACCATTTGCAGACTTTGAACTAAGAAGATTCCTCATGGGTCAGCCATTGGAAGACATACATAGCCCAAAAACTCAGATTTTGCGAAGAAAGCTTGGGTACACCGAGCTTCTAGGAGCAGTGATCCTTTGACATCCTATCAAGGTCTATGCAAAAGAGAGCTGGAAGAAAAGGACCTCCTTAGAGAAAACTTCCTTCCAGAAACTTGAAGCAGGGCTATAGTGACCTGTTCAAACATACTTGGACGGCTTTTCCTCACGCCCGTCTCCATCTCATCTTCAGGATCACTAAACTGCCTTTTTTTCCACTCGATCACTTCCTAAATGCACCAGCTACTCTGCTCTCGAAAGGGCAATACTTTTTTTTCTGTGTCTAGACCAGTGTATTGAAATATATATTATATATATATATTATATATAGTCATATTTACTCCCATAATGAACGCACACCTTACATTTGCCAGCTGCAGTCCCGCTAACACTAGGCACCTCCTTGCCCATTGGATCTTCGTTTCATTATTATGCCAACCCCCTTCGGCCACCTTGGCCTGCTCCCTCCCTTCTCACCTGCTGTTGTGCCCCGTATTGTTATTTCTACCTGCCAGCACTTCCTACAGATAAGAAACATTAAGGCCCACCTACACGCCGGTGATTTTCGAGCCATCAACACGGCTGTCGCAAAGTGTCGCCACTGCATCGAAGGTTGCTGGAAAGCCAGAAAAAAAAAAAGATCGCTGGTCACCCAGAAAAGATCGTGCTGATTTAAGCAAAATTAGAGACTGCATCCAAGATCATGCTTCCTACCACGACTCCTTTTTTTTTAAATGACGCAAAGCGGTGAGCCTGCTAAAAAATAATTCGTAATCCATTTTTTAGAAAAGGTCTACCATAACTTAGAAGGGCACTGCTCATTTGTAGGAATTCGTGGTACAGTTGTGGTTTACCCCTCGCCTGCTCAGTACCTGTCCCACTATTTTTTGCGGAGCCCCGCCGCGGTAGTCTAGTGGCTAAGGTACTCTGCTGCTGACCCGCAGGTCGTAGGATCGAATCCTGGCTGCGGCGGCTGCATTTCCGATGAAGGCAGAAATGTTGTAGGCCCGTGTGCTCAGATTTGGGTGCACATTAAAGAGCCCCAGGTGGTAGAAATTTCCCGAGTCCTTCACTATGGCGTCTCTCATAATCATATGGTGGTTTCGGACGTTAAACCCCACATGTCGATCAATCAATTTTTTGCAGACTGCGAATAAGTGTAGCACAATTCCAATATATTTATCATTACTCCCGCTTTAAATTTTTGCGTACAAAATGTTAAGAACTGTTCTGGACCAGAAAAGGAACGTGGCTTTTTGCGGTCAAACAAACCTAAAACAGAAATTAAATAAGGTTCGTTCAGACACTTTCATCTAGGCTATGATTAGGTCTCAACAAATGTGCCATTTTCTATTGAGAGGTAGCACCAATTGGGAACTTTTTTTTTTTTTAACAGCTTAATCTCATTCCAAACATAACTGATCAATAGATTGACACTTCTGTTCCATGCATTAATAAAAAGATGCAAGAGTTTGTGCAGCCATTTGCCGTAGCAAGCGAACAAAGCAGAACAGCCCAAGTTTTTTTTTTTCTGCCGCTGGAACACCAAGCACTTATAAACTGGATGTCATTCTCTGGGAAGGCACTATTTTTTAGCTAATATCCAATGCTTCCTTCCTTGTGTTAGAGTATACTGAAAATTTCTTTCCCTTCATATGAACTTAGTTATGCACAAGCCTATTGTTCCTTAAGATTACAAAAGTGCCACCGCACAGTCCTGCATTAGAGAATGGCGTGGTTTTGGGATGTGAGCAAATTTTACAAGTTTATTGTGGACAGTTGGTCAAAGTTGAGACAATCTACAATCTTTACGTCCATCATGAAATGATGGACAAAACAGTAAAGAATGTTTCCAACACACGATACTTGGACGTGCCTCGTTGGAGAGAGAGCCAGTAGTATTGGAAGTGCTAGGGAGACCGACCCTAGTGGTTCCAAAAAGACAGAAGTGCATGACAAAAAAGGAGGACCTTGGCATCAATCGCTCGGCAAGAAATTTGAGGAAAAGAGTGCCATGGCAAGAAAGCAATCTTCAATCGCCGGAAGCTCTCTTGACACGGGGTGCTTCGCTTAGATTACACTGTGAATGAGTTCACCTAACTGTAGGCATAACAAAAGCAGAACTACAGTTTTCATAAGCCTTTCTAGCCAATTCATTATAGGAGAAATTTCGCATACAGGAGAATGCAAAGAAAGCCTAGATCTTAAGCAGTAAAGAAAAAAAATGAGAACCTCCTAAAAATTGCCTGGTAACAAAAAAAAAAAACTATCATCTAGTCCATGCATGAATCTCAGATATTGCAGAAGAGACCTTTCAGGAGCACATAGAAATGGACAAGACATTGACAAACTACAAAAATATGGAAAAAGGTGCACCATGCGTGAATCCCTAAGAAACGCAGTTTTATTGATGATAACCGAACTTTCAGGCACAGCTTCCATTAAGACACATCCACCAAAACTGCGTCAGCGTGGCACGCTGAGCCAATGATATTAAATTGCAGACCATGGTGCTCCACTTTTCAACAGGAAAGGCAACACATCTGTACATCACCCGCACCAGTAAAAGAAAAGTGACCATAGCACCACCAAATAACCCCATACAGCACTGCTTACATCTGCATAGAAACAGTTAAACATTGAGAGAATTTATTTACACAATGGACACTTAGGCAACATTTTCTACAGCCTTAATCACACTTATCAAGAACGGGCAAGCACACAGTTTAGGCATTACTGCCTTACACAGCTGCCACCTTCTATTACCGACAAGCTTCCAATCGTGCTTTAGCAACACCAAAAGGACCCAGCATGCGTGGAGACTATCTTTATATTATTAGCGCACCTGTGTCAATATCTTCGCAATAAACAGCGGTTGATGCAGTCAAGAGGCCACTCTTGACAATTATGGCTCAGACTGTACATTCATAAAGAGCAACATTTCCCCAAGACACCTTCACACCGAGCTTCCAGTGAGCAGCTTGCTATGGCATGTCCCATTCACTTAAATACAATTTTGACTGAATAACAGAGCAACCCGAGGGTTTCCGTCTAACCTCGCTGACCGGAGACTCGGACCCTGCGACAGCCTCCGGCTGCGGCTGCTGCTCTTCCTCCTCTGTGGCAGTGGCGTCGTCTTCGGAAGCAGGTGCAGCAGGCGTTGGCTCTTCTCCGGACGTCCCCGAGAAGTACGCGCTCTGTTGCACCTCCAGCAGCACATCCCGCATTGCCTTGTCTGTTGGAAGCGCCCGCAGTCAAGGGTTCGTACTATCTGGCAGTAACCTGCTTTAAAGCACTTTGCTCACTCCACATTTTAAGATATGTCCTCCAAGGCTCTGACTTTCTGAAGAGTGCTTTAACGACAGTGCCGACTTGCGCGTGGGCTAAACTTCTGATGAGGTGTGGCCCTCGCATAAAAATGGGCAATATGGGCCAAAGTTGCGACACTGAGCATGAAATGGAGCACAATTGGCTGCATTCCTTTGCGATTGCATGCCACTACAAATGTGCAAAAAGCATTGACAAAAAGACGTGCATTTCCCAAGGAAAGGTGAAACTACGTGAAAATGTGCAGTTTTCTTCAGTTTAGGTCAAATCAAAATTTTCCTGCTGAGGTGCCCCATAGTGAAAAACCGATTGGCCCCCTCTCTGAACTCTCTGAGCAGAGGACAGCAGATGTTAGCAGAGGACAAGCCTCAGATGGCACAGGCTCCCCAGGCTATGCATTGGCAGTGACAACCCATCAGATGGCCCCTGTGCTCTGGCTTCCCCACAGTGTGTGTGTCAGGGAGAGGACGAGGGGCCCACACGGTGGGCCCACAGCCTCGACAAGCACGTTCTCATCACACGGGTTCTCAGTACTAATACATCATCCCTAGAGACCCAATGTCAAGCTCTGCCAACACCAACTCCCTCTGCATTCACCAGTCGGACCCTGTTATATTCGAGCTCAATCCAACCACAAAATGCCAGACATGTTGTTACAAATTATTTCTATCATGCTCCAATAGTTGAAAACACACTGTCTTAAAGGGACATAAAAGAGCAAAACATTTTCAGGTATCGATAAAGTACAATTTCCCAATCCCAAAAACACCACTGAACGCAACACGGCACTTGGTAAACGAGAAAATACGCAAAAAAAAAAAAAGGCGGTGGAAACGCTACTTAAAGGTTCCCGCACCAAAAACTGCGACATCATCGAACTTTGAAGGCATCTACTGGGTCCTACGTAGGTTCTAATCGATACAACTGAAGCACATTGTAATTTCTAGATGCCATAAACCTAGCATACGAAGCTTCACAAAATTTCATCCAGCCACTGTTGCAAAAAATACGAAAAATACATTATGAAATTTCTTATGTCTTGCACACAGATTACGGCCAGAAATTAAAAAATAAAACTTCAATCGCATTTCTCTTTTAAGGGGGGGCGCGGCAAGTAAAGTGCCGATTTTGGTCAAAATATGCGATTTTCTGATTTATTTTTTTTCGTAATCTTCAGACCTTCAACTTCCTTGTTCTAAAATATTACAGCGAAACGTGCGCTACAAATCCCGCAAATAGTGTTTTTGCCGAGGCTAGTCGCCGAAAAGTGCGAAAAAAAAGCCCCTGAAACGGTGTTGTTCACGCCGCACAAACGCGCCAAGTTGTTGACCGTGGGCCGCCATTTTGGTAGCTTTGGAAAGAGGAGAAAGCCGGCTTCCCGATGGTCGCGGTCTCGTATTTCGCCGAGTGAAAATAAAAGCGCGAGGAGCAAGTAAAAAAACGAAAACGAAGAACGGCAATTGGCTGCGCGGGTCACGTGGTAGCAGGCGCGACCTCTTACTGGTCAAAGCTGCGCCGCGCACCTTGGCAACCTTGGAAGCGCGAGCGCATCTGCGGCCGCCGTGTCGAGAATCATCCGGCGTGCGCTTCGTTTTTTGCCAGTTTGCTGTTTTTGTGATAGTTCGCGTGCTTTTTTTACCAAGCTTTGTTTACATCGGTGGTCTCTTCTGAGTGCTTGCTCATACTGCGGTGCTATGTTGCCGCAAAAAAAGTTCCGGAGCGTCCACAAGTACGGCAAGCGTCGGAAAGCTTGGAACAAAGGGCAGACGACTGCGGCTGCCGTCCCAGTCGCAGTTCCGGACGGAGCATGCTCTTCAAGCGTCACGGAGCCTCTACTCAGACCCTTCGCTGATTGTTGTGAGGCCGAGAGTGTGGAAGGTGCCACATCGTCGTATGTCAGACCGCCGGATGCCGTCGACCGTGATGGACGCTCTCGCGAACCCGATTGCGGTGGCACCGCGTCGGCAGCCGTTGCAACTCCGGGCGTGCGCGCGTCGAACATTCTATCGCGAGTTTCGGCCCAGATTCCGAGCAGTGAAGAAATCGCGCAGCGGCCGCAGACAAGGCGGGATGTTTTGGATGCCGTAGCATCGAAGTCCGCTTCCGAGCTTCTGAACGAAGGCTGCGACGAAAATGACGGCGGTAAGGACTCCACATTCTTCATTGTAAATAAGAAGATGCTGAACGGTCTGCTTTCGTCAGTAAAGTGCAACAAGTGCGACGAAGGGTCGATACGCCTCGAGACTACGCACTGCCTTGGACTCGCGGCGAGGATGGAACTTTTTTGTGACAATTGTGGCAGAGTGAACAGTGCGTGGTCGTCCCCGAGGTGCTCCGGGCAACAAAAAACGAACCACTTTGAGGTAAACGTGCGTGTTTTGAGGGCTGTGCAGTCAGTTGGCAGAAAACAATCTGCCATAAATGACATTTTTTCTGCGATGGACATTTCGCATCGAGCACTGCACCACAAGTCCTACCAGAGACTGCAAAGGAAGTACAGCCACCCTGCCACCACATCAGCTGCCACCCGCATTGAAGCAGAAAGTGCACAGAAGGTGCATGACACCTACAAGGACCTAGGAGGAGTGCCAGGCAACATTGACGTCATTTACGACGGCACGTGGATGACGAGGGGGCACAGAAGTCATATTGGCGTGGGCTGTGTAATCGAGCTGTACACAGGCTTGGTCTTGGACCACTGTGTCCTGTCCAACTACTGCCAAGGCTGTGCTGTTGGCCCCAAGCCTGGTGACGACAACTATGAGGAGTGGCTTGAGAAACACAAGCCACAGTGCCAAAAGAACACCGATGCTAATGCAGGCCAAATGGAAGTAGAAGCAGCTAGGATCATGTTTGAAAGATCGTTTACCAAGTACAAGCTTCGATACATCAATGTGCTCTGCGACGGTGACAGCCGTACGTACCTTGCCCTCACGCAAGACAAGGTGTATGGCTACATGGTGATTAAGAAACAGGAGTGTGTGAACCATGTGAAAAAATGAATGGGCACTTCCTTGCGCAACCTTCTTGATGAGCACAAATCCAAAGGCCGAGGACTGAGCATGGGTGGCAAAGGCCGGCTGACGCAGGGCCTGATAAAGAAGTTGACGAATTATTATGGCTGGGCCATTAAGAGCCACCCCAACGATGTTCCTGGCATGGAGAGGGCCATCATGGCCACTTATTACCATGTAACATCCACAGACCAGGATCCACACCACAACCTGTGCCCAAGTGGGACTGACTCCTGGTGCCCGCACAATCAGGCATTGGCCAAGGGAGAGCCGCTGCCGCCTCACAAACATAAACTGCCCCCTCACGTGCGAGTGGCACTGCTGCCAATCTACAAGCGCCTCTCGAACAAAGAGCTCCTTGAAAGGTGTGCGCAGGGAAAAACCCAGAACGCTGTGGAGAGTATGAACAGCCTCATTTGGTCACTCCAGTCCAAGAGCCAGTTCGCCTCCCTTCGAAGTGTGGAAAGTGCAGTTGCAGATGCAGTCTGCCGTTTCAATGGTGGATGCAAGAGTGCGCTGCAAGAGATCACTGCTCAACTGGGCTTCAATCCAGGAGACTGCTCTTTGCGGCGAGCAGCCGAAAAGGATGCCAAAAGGGTAAAGAGGGCTCAAAAGGCGCATTGTTCCACAACAAAGAAGCGCAAAACTGGGTTGCGCTCTACAGAGGCCAAGGCCACAGCATCTCAGGATTACTGCCCAGGAGGATTCTGAGTGTTTTAGGCATGTTGTGAACTTCCAAACAAGAGTGAACTTTCAAAGTCAGTTTTCTCAACTCTTGATTTTCGCCTATGTGCCTTCGCTAGAACATCCGTCATTTTCTAACAAAGACTGATAGAGTCGTTCCGTTTTTTTGCACTAGGCTCAGGAGGCCTTTAGCAGTGCAATAAAGCTTTATCTCTCTTCTTACTCATCATTTAAAATTTTTAGAACACATTTTATAATTACTGCAATGTGTGCGCAAAACAACATTCATGTTTTGGAAATTTTATTTATGGTTACAAGAACTAGAAAAATCAACTAATAGCTTCTTTGCACAAGTTGATGCTTTGGGAACATAATAATATGAAAAAATAATTTCATTTAGCAATAATTATCTCTTTAAGTGTGAAGAGCATTAATTAGTATAATTATGCTTGTAACTCAAAAAGTACAAGAGGTATTTGAAAACGGTTTTCATATTTGGAATCCTCACAATCATCCACATACACACACCAAATTTCATCACAAACAGTACATTAATAAAAAAATTAGTTTTACTTGCCACGTCCCCCCTTAAGGGGAGACACGGGTCTCGAAGGCTGAGGAATTTCCGAGAAATCGATTTTTTAAAGTATTCTTAAAAATAATATATAGGGTCTGAAGAAGGTGTTCCTAAAATGCTATTGTGATGTAATGCAGATTTGTTGAGTAATTCGGTCTCAAAGTCAGTTTCGTGACCATTTCCACTCACCAAACCACTTCAAAAAAAAAATGGTCATATTCGACGCCGCGGCCCCCGAGAACCAAGCCAAGTAGCGCGGCCATTTTGGTTGAAAGATGTATTTTGTCTACCCGAATGTATGGTTTTCAAAAAAATCTACTTTTTCGCAATTTTTCTGGTTTCAAAAGGCGCGTCCCCCCTTAACAATCAACTTATGACAATAAAGCTTGTGACACTGAAGTTCTACGAGTGCAGTTCATTAATCTAAAACAGCTCATTGTGTCTATTGTCCCTTAAGAGGAGAGACTGGTCTGAAAAATTTTAATACAATATGTATTTTTCACAGCTGAAAACAAATATGTAATTAGTTTTTTTGCAATCACTTTTAGATTTTTAGATATTGACTGTTACATAAACTTGCATTCTGCCCAGCCTTTTGACATCTTCCTCATAAAATATTGCTACAAATTTGATATGACAGCATTCCATGAAGGCCAGGAAGTGCAACAAAACCATAATTTTATTTTTAGCTTCATTGGTACCAGAGTTATGGCCTTGACAAGAATACTCATCAGAAATCTGAAACTGTTGCTTAAGTTTGTTGCTAATTAAATCACTATTGTAAATAAAAATATTACATATTTTTGGTTTTCTTGCACTAATCAATGTATAAGCTTTCAAATGATGCAAGAATAATCAAAATCCGACTGCTACATCAAAAGATACTGTGGGCAATGGCTTAAAGTGTGATGAAAAAAGTTTTGAGAAAACGAGAAAAGAAGTTTAGGAACATGCTGAGCACTTATATTTAACAAGAAAAGGTGTGAATCGGTGTATTAACCATGTTAGAAGCCACCAGGAATGTAGTCATTATCATTCTCCTTGGTGCGCTTTCTTTTCATGGCACACTTGAAGTTTTCAGCATGCTCATGCTTCTTCTCCGATGCCACTAGTCTGCGACTGTTCTTTTCTGAGCATCTTTCAGCGGCCCCAACACTCTGCTGCAGGTGCAGCTCCTTCAATATGGCGGCATCTGCTCTCCCTTTGCCAGCGTTGAACCTTGCGACAGCTTCGGCCACAGCAGCTTCAACGGTGAAAAGAGACGCGTGTTTGTTTTTGGACACGAGCGACCAGATGACGGAGTGCAGGCTCTCGTTTGGGTTCTGTGTTTTGCCTCGCTGACAACGCTCCAGCAATTTGTCAGAGAGGCGCGTGTAAATAGGCCGCAAGGCATCAACCACATACTCCGGCAGGTTGTAGCGATGATTCGGAGGAGTCTCCTGCTTGGCAACAGCCTTGTTGTACTTGCACCAGGACTCTTCACCAGTTGGGCAGTGAGAGTGCTGAGGGCTTGCATCAGTAGATGCTACATGATAAAAGGTTGCCCAGACAGCATTATTCATGGCCTCAATGCTTCCTTGGTTGCTTTGTAAAGCCCATCCATAATATGACGCGAGCTTTGTGACCAGCTCGCCTGTCAGTTTGCCCTTGCCGCCAAGGCTTGGCTTTCCTTCGGCTCTTTGTTTTTGCAGGAGGTTTCGAAGTGCTGTGCCCATGCGCTTATGCACATGGTTGACACAGTCCTCCTTTTCTATTGGCACGAAGCCATATACCTGTGCCTCCTGCAGACTGTTGAAGGCCCGGCTGTCTCCATCACACAACATGGTTGTGTAGCGGAGCCCATGTGTCTCCAATGAGCGGCCAAATAAAATTTGTGCTGCGTCCACCTCCATTTGTCCTGGCTTACTGGAGGTATTCTTTTGGCAAGTGTGACCAGCTAGCCACTCGGCATACCTTGGGTTGTCCTCCTTCGGCCCTAGCTGGCAGCCCAAACAAAAGTTCGATAGGACGACGAAGTCGAGCACATAACCCGTGAATAGTTCAATCACGGTCCCTACACAAATTCGGGATGAGTGGCCCCTGGTCAGCGAAGTCCCATCAAAGGAAACGGCGATATTTCCAGGATTTCCATAGTTGAGTTCGGAATTCCGTTTTCACGGTGCTCGCGCAGTCGTCAATAACGTGTGCGGCAGGGTTCATTTTCAATTGCACATAATCCTGGTATGTCTTGGTGTGCAGGCTTCTCTTGAAATATTTAGGGCAGAAAAAATATTGTTCAGCGCAGTTTGTCCGTTTCCTGTGCTCATTGCCGCGCGTACCGCGAGCACGTTAATTTCGAAGGGGCCGTGCGCTGCGTCCCCCCCTGCTCTCGGCGAGCTCTATACGGTCCTCAGTTTACCGCACTCGTCACATGCTAGAACAAGTTTCGCGGCTATGCCATATTTGCGGTCTTCCTCGGAGATTCTGCCAGGCCCGCCACACACACCGCACTTCATACACTAAAGAAGTTCGTTGACCAACTCTAAGCTAACGACGGTGAACGGCGTACCAGGCGTTGCGGCTCCATACGAGTCTCGAAAAAAAAGACCGTTTGCGTTTTGTGGCAGACTTCGATGAAAGATCTTGCAGAACATCGCTCGCACGACACCCTATGACCACTTTTTCAGCGGCGGAAACCAGGGGAGTGTCAACGCGCACAGCTCTCGTGTGATCTTGAGACGCGGCTATCGCGTCCGCGATCGCGGGTGCCGCGGCGGTGATAGCGCCGGCACAGCCTGCTTCTTCCGAGTTCTCGACGGCAGAAGGTCTCGCTGGTGATAAGGTGCGGGCTCTTGGACGCCGTTTTCGCCTTTTCCCAAACGCATCAGCACTCCGGAACTTCCGATGACCGCCTGCCATTGCACCGAATGCACAGCCATTGTTAGGCCTCTACGCAAAATGGCGGCTTGCACACCGCTGTCCAGCAGACGAATCCCTTCGCGTCCAATAGGAAACCGGGAACTGCCCCACGTGACAAAAACGCACCAATGATGTGCGAGTATTCAGTTTTTCTTTATGCGCGATAGCTGCATTGTTGCTAGACGAAAAACGTTCTGCTAGGAACAGATAATAGAAAAATGAGTCTTTAAAATGAGACCAAAATGGCCGTGCTACTTGGTGCAGTTCTCGCGCGCTGCGGCGTTGAATACGACCGTTTTTGAGGTGGTTTCGGAAGCGAAAATGGTCATCAAACTGACTTTGCGACCCAATAACTCAACAAATGCGCATTACAGGGCTATAATATTTTAGGAACAGCTTTCTTAGACCTTAATGATCATGAAAAAAAAAATACTTCAAAAAAATCGGTTTTTCGGAAAATTTTCGGCCCCCCCATAACCGTGTCTCCCCTTAAATCATACTGCAGACCTTAATCATACTGCATACTGCAGTTACCGTAATTACTCGAATCTAACGCGCACCTTTTTTCCGGTTAAGCGAGTTCATAAGTCGCATGCGCGTTAGAATCGAGTACGAACAAAAAAGTTACGGTCAATCTATTGCCATTGGCAAATCCAAAATGGCCGCCCCCTACGTGCGTCGGCATGGCGCGTCGGCCATTTCTGCCTATGTGTTTCCCATGTGCGGCACTTCGTACGTGTGCTGAGGAGTTCGTCATCTAGTAGTGCATTAGCATCGACGGCGTGGAAGGGCCGACTCCAAAAACTCGAGTGCACCACGATGCCGCTTTTAAAAGAAAAGTCATCGCGTGTGCAGAAACGGACGGAAATCGGGCCGCATCGCAGTCGTTCGGAGTTCCCGAAACGTGCGTGCAGGACTGGCGGAAACAAAAGCAGAAGATTGTCGACAGCAAAGCTTCACGCAAAGGCTTCAGTGGACTGCAGCAGGGTCGGTTTCCGCAAATTAAAGAGCTGCTTGGCGAGTATGTGCTTGAGCAGCGAGCGGCACAGCGGCCCGTGACGACAGAACTGCTCCAAGTGCGGGCTATGCAACTAGTCTTAGAAAAAGGTCTAATGCGGAGCCAGTTTAAAGCGAGCAGGTGCTGGCTAACTAACTTTATGAAGAGGAAAGGCTTTTCCCTCCGAAGGGGAACATGCATATGCGAAAAGTTTTGCAGTGGAGTACGATGAAAAGCTTCACAGTTTTCAGAGGTTCGTCCTAAACTTGCGGCGCAACAACGGCTACCTGCTAGGGCAAATCGGGAATGCTGGTCAGACGCTTTTTTACTTCGACATGCCTGGCACCACAACCGTCGAGAAGAACGGGGCGAAGCATGTTCGCGTGCCGACATCGGTCCACGGTAAAACTACAGTGACGGCAATGCTCTGTTACACGTCAGATGGGCACAAGCTTCGCCCGTACCTCATATTTAAATGGAAGACGCTCCCGAAAGGAGTCGTTTTTTCGAGTAATGTTATCGTGCGGGCCAGCGAGAAAAATGGGTGCGCGTTGCAATCGAGGGCGCGGTAGAATCGAGTAAATACGGTACTGTCTTAAGCAGCAGTGTGCAAGTTCGAATATTTAAAAAGATTCCAGAATTCAAGTTCATTACAAGCAGCACTCCCACAAGTAACCAGCCCAAATGATTGGTGTAACTACAGTGCACAGCTACTATGCTGTGAAACCACCTTTCCAGCAGCAATGTGCACCGCTGTGAAGTGCTTCAATGAAATGTCAACCTTAGAGTAATCTGCAAAGACATTCATAGCATCTCACATTCCAGTTAAAAATTTCCAGGAGTTCATGGTTCGAGTAATGATTACTCGGAACCTAGAATTGCTATTGCCAATTTCCTTTACGATCTCCTGAAGGTTTCACATAATTAAGACTTGACAGTGTCTGGCTACTACACAAGTCTAAACAAATGGTACGTCACTCCTCGAGTAAAGCTCAGCCACATTTCTCGCTGAACAATGCCTTTTAAAAGGAACTATTGGCAAGGATACATGTCGTGCTGAGCACAGGCTTCGGTCGTGCGTCCAGAAGGGCCACCAGGTGTTCCGCTGCCTGCAGCAGATGGCCGGGGAAGGTGCCCGGCTCACAATCGTCCCGGTCGGGGCACACCAGCTTGTACAGCTGGTCCAACTGGTCAAAGGTCTCCGAAGACAGTCGCGGGGCACCCTCCTCACCATCCAGAAAGCACTGCCGCACCTCGGGCGAACCCAGGGCCATCAGCACATCCTGGACCTCCAGCAGCTCGCGCACCCGCTGAACTTCCCGCGCCTGACGCTCCAGCTGCTCGCGACGCGCCTGGCGTTTCAGCTGCCGCAGGTGCTGCGTCGGCAAAACGCGGACACTTAGAATTGGAGGCAAGTGGAACAAACATTAAATGGCAACATCCATACAGACTGCAGAGGCCCCAGTAATGTGCAGTTGACACGGCAGCAGAAGGAGGCATTGACGACACAGTTTGTTGAACATTGGCGGGACTAAAGTGCAAAGAATCACTCAACAGCAAAAGCAAGATGCTGTGTCCAGTCTTGCTTTTGACATGCATTGCTTTATAGTGCGTTTTTGCAGACATTTACCAAATGTAGCAATCGCCACAGAAGTAAACAATTCTGAAGTGCACTGCCAGCGCTGTACTAGTTTTAGTAGTACAGTCAGTACAGTGCTGTACTGCCAGCGCTGTACTAGTTTTAGTAGTCCAGTCAGTACAGTGCTGTACTGCCAGCGCTGTACTGAAGTGCACTGCCAGCGCTGTACTGAAGTGCACTGCCAGCGCTGTACTGTACTAGTACTGTACCAGCGCTGTAGTAGAATTAAGAAAGCCTGCCGGGATAATCGACCTAAAGCATTTAGTTTGAAACTACTGTAAAAGCCAGTGATAGTCTACGCTTTTTTTCCTAGTTTTTATGGTGCAAAATTTTGGCCCGCACTATACGTCGATCCCAAGAATTTCCAGCTGAATTGCACTGTCCTGCTTTTCCTTCGCCCTTCGTGTACACTTTGTTGCACCTACTAACAGCCCACTCAGCGTAATTGAGTGCCGAGATGTAGCCTTCTTCGCGAAAGGCACAAAATGCTCCCTGTGTTGTGTGCAAATGCTGACGTTTATTTCTTTTTATCTCTGCATGCAGCTTTTGCACATTTAGTGCAGCACTCGCACATGGAGTAAAGGAAAGCCACAAACCTCTTGGACGACCGCGGTGACACTTTTCTGCAGCTCCTTTGTCAACTCCAGAGTCTCCTGCACCTGTTCATATTTTCCAACCGCTGCCTGAAGAGCGAAGGAAGGCAATTTATTACGATGACAGCATGCTCTAAACAATAAAAAAACTTCTAGGGAAATTAGGTACAGTATCAAGGGGCACCTCTTTCCCATTCACCTAACAATCGTAAGCGATAATTCCATACTTAAACCCTTGTCACATGAGGCAACTTCGGGCACTTTGAGTAAGCACACTTCGCAGCGAGTGTCATTTGCACGCCGCCAGATGAGAAAGTTTAATTTCGCTCGCTGCAAAGTACACTTGTCGGCAAATGTGTTCACCAACCGTTCGCTGCGACAGTGTGTGCTGCCTCGATAGCAGTGGCTTGCACATAAACTCGCCATTGCGTGGCTCGTAGTGTTCTTAAAGCATCGTTTTTATTATTAGAAACAAAAAAACCCTAGTTACTCTTGCCCTTAGTGCGTGGCCACAACCACTAGGGGGATGTGGGAGCACATACCGTGCAGTCGCTTTGTTTACTTCCTTGTTTATGCGCAGGTCAGTCGTTCTCTTGTCATTTGCGACGGCGTGTACCACAGGCACTACCGGCGTGCATTCCACTGGAAACTCTACACTGAGCGACACAAGGAGGGCACACCATAAAACCATAAGCCAAAATGGCGGCTACGGTGAACGAGCTTGCGAGTAGCAGTCCCTCGATGTCTCTTGAAATTTTAGCTTCTCTCAATTTCAAACATATGTTGTGCTACTAATCTGCCAATTGCCCCTGCCATTATTTCCCAAGTACACTTCACTTTCTCGTGTAGCAGCACAACCCCGAGCGACACTGCAACACTCGCTCAAAGTGCCCTCAGGTTGCCACTTGTGACCGCGGTATTACAGTTTCAACATAAAGTGGCGGCAGTGCAGTATTGACAATTTCAAAAGCCACAGCTTTAACAGCAACCGCCGCTAGTTGCACAATAAGTATGCCCTAGAACACAGCACTTGACCTCATTATAAGGATCCCTAAGGCCACTAAATTTCAACCAAGACAGGCAACAACATTGAAGCAAATACCCATGCACTTATTTCAAACATTCATTGACTAAGCTCCCAGTTACAATGGTCAGCTGTATATGAGGGCAGTGACTGTAGGGAATGCTTCATACCAGCACCACTTGTACTTGTCAAATCAAAATTTCGCCACAACCCACATTTTTGGTTCCACAGTAGCCGGAATATGAATCAACTTTGACCTCATCTAGTTGCTCTACACTAGAAACAATGAAAAATAAACATTATTAATGTACCTTGCTATACAGGCCTACTCAACCTTAGACCAGTAGGTTTTTTTCTTTGTGTGTGTGTGTGCAAGCAGGCAGAACAAAATTAACTATAACTTCCCATAAAAGAAGACCAAAAGTTGGTTTGTTTGTATTTTTTGCCACTAGGAGTACATCTAAGCACGAAAGGCAAAATGTCTTCGTAAATAAATTAATGATTACATCTATAGAAAACTTATCCCAGCCCATAAGGAAAAGCAACCATACATAGTCAAATCTAAACCAACGTTTAAAAAAAATGTGCAAAATGGGGGGGACACACTTAGATCCATAGTTTGGCCGCCGCTGCCACCTGCCTGAAGGCCCGGCCGCGCTAGCGGCATTGCGACTCTTGATGCACCGATCTTAAGGTACCGGTTTTGCATGTCGGAGGTCATTTTCGCGACATTTTACGGTAGCTGCATGGCGACAAGGACGCTCAGGCCTGTTCAGTGGGTGAATAGTGGTCCCCATCGCTTTCGTACGCTCAATTGTCCCCAAAATCACGCAGTCCAACCTTCACGCAGCGAGAGAGCGAGGATCGTCGAGATTTTACGTTGGAAAAACAGGAAGACGTGGATTGTGTCATATTACCGCTGGCAGTTGCCATTTTGGCCACCTATCGGCTATTGCGTGGCGGACGGCGTGGAGTTGGTAAATGGTCATTCTTCTGAAAGCGATTGTGCAGTGTAGTTGTAGCTCTTGCTCACGAAACGCCCGTATCAATTGTGCTTCAGTTTTGTTGGCACTGACGAAGCGGTGCCACTACAGCGCGGTGTTTAAGCGGAAGGTCATGTTAAAGACATCGAATCTACGAGCGCAGCAACAGTTTGGCGTGCACGAAAAGAATGCGCGACGATGGGGAAAACAACGAGCAGTACTCTTCGGCTGTGCAGCAACCCGCATGGCGTTCACTGGACCAAAAACTGGCCGACACCATGCGATGGAAGAAGTTGTCGATTTTGTTAGAAAACAGAGGGAAGCGGGAATGCCCGTGATGACTGGAATTATTCAGGCGAAGACTAGAGAAGTTGCCACCATGAAGGTTGTCTCATGAGCGAAGGAAGTGAAGCTCAGGACGCTGGATTACGAGAAACAGTGAACTACGGTTACGTTGTGCTGCATCTCCAATGGGCGGAAACTCCCTCCTTTCATAATTTTCAAACGCAAGACCGTACCAGCGGGCGAGAAGTTCCCCAGGAATGTTGTGCGTGTTCACGAGAAAGGACGAATGCCCAGCGGTTTGATGGAGGACTAGGTGAAAACTGTTTGGTAACGCCGTCCAGGGGTCGCATTGTGCAAGCCGTCACTTCTACTCTTCGACTCCTACTGCGGCCACCTGACTGACCATGCTTGCTTGTGCTGGCACGAATATTGCCATAATCCTTGGTGACATGACTAGTCAAGTCTAGCCGCTTGACGTCGCAATTAATAAGCCCTTTAAAGACAGGCTTTGCACGCACTACACCGACTGGCTTACATTGGAGGAACATCAGTTTACCCCAACCGAGTGCGTCCAGCTGGCAAATTGGATCGCCGCAGCGTGGAATGAAATCCCAAATGCAATGATAAGAGCTTTTAAAATGTGTTGTATCTAATGCGGTGGACGGAAGCGAGGATGATGCTCTCTGGGCGAACTTGCCAACAAAGAAGACAGATTTTGTGAATGATGATGACGAATAAACGTATGTACTACATACCTACAGCGTGTGTGCTTGAGCAAGAAAAAAAGCATGCCTACAGAATGTGCGCTTGAGTAAGAATAAAGGCTGCATTTTCTACAAATAAAATGGCTTTTTCCCCCCTATTCGGCCTATATTCGGGGGAAGTTTCTTTTTCTGGCCTTACCAAATTCGGGCGTCGACCTATATTCGAGTAAATACAGTAATACAGCCAAGAATACTCGCCCAAAGGTTGTCCAATAAGCAGCAATATTCCAGCATTCATGGCAAGCATCTCGGCTGGAACTTGAGCTTTACTTGGACATGATAGTCGAATCTCACAAGATGCATTATGTCTTACATAGTACTATGCAAAAACCTTGGTAGAGCACAGTGCCAAGTCATATCCATGCTGAATAGTTGCATACACATTGCATTATAGATGTACCATGTAAATGCAGGCTTCTCAGTCATTTTGCAAATATTTAAAAAAGATTTCTCGCTACAAGTTTCAACTCGCAAGGCAGTTCCACACTTTGTACCCATTCTTGGTTCATTGTGTACCGTTTTTATGGTTATACTGCCAGCCTTCAAACACCTTATACTGTTACTATGTTGCATGAACAAAGCCAAACCCCTGCATCAAATTCCTTGCAGAACAGATATTTCTGACACTTTCACTTGTTCTGAAAATTAAAACAGCACCAGTAGTTAGAGAATGCTACAACCATCAGTAGTGTTGTCATTCAACTAGGCCTCTATCCAAGCATTTCAAAACTGAAAACCCATTTCGGGAATAATTTAAAGCAGGATTTCTTTAGAACTACAGGCACAAGTCACTGCCCTGTCAAGGTGTGGCTCTCCTAAGCAGCTTTGCCTTGGAAAAGCAGGGAACATAAACTAGTGTAAGAGTATGTGTTCCCGACAACCATGCAAAAACCAAAACAAAAGGACTGCTGCTAGCTATATGCCAGCACTTTTGCAGGGGGTGCTTTCGTTGACAGAACTGTCCTACCATAGGTGAAAGATTTGGTACTGAACGAGCACCTCGCCAGGACAATTGCTTGTACCCGCTTCAGCTGCGTGTATGCTGTGGCAACCTGCTGCCAATTGATGTTATGAATTAAAGACTGCTTTTTATCGGTCCTATGCAATTTTAGTGTAAAGCAAGGACTAAGAATACGTAGGCTACGTGTAAAAAATGATGCTATATGTGAATAGCTTAAAAAGATTTCTTAAAACTGTCAAAGTTATCCATTTAGAATTCCATTACTAAGCCCTTGTCAGACACTAAGAAAATGTCATGATATTAAGCTAGTGTCATTTTCTCTGTACACTGCTGCACGATTAAAACTTGGAAATGACTGACCACTGCACCCTGTACCAAGACTTTAGGGAGTTTATGCCTTTTGTTTAAAGTGCCTATGCATTTTTATGTCAAACAACCAGGCCAGTACGAATACAAAAAACATCTTTCACATCGAAAAAAAAATTATTGCTTAGTTCTCCGACATGACTAGATACGGTAGTTCCCTGTCACCAGTGCTACACTCCCATTCCAGTTGAATGTGGCTGGTTTTATTCTGCGACAGCGCACACAGGATTTTCCGAATCGCAGCAGTAATTACAAGAGATCTGCCATGTGACAAGGGTATTTGGCTATAATAAAAGTACCATGTATGAGTGCTACTATGATACGTGGGGTTTAACGTCCCAAAACCCCCCATATGATGAGAGATGCCGTAGTAGAGGACTCCGGAAATTCCGACCACCTGGGATTCTTTAACGTGCACCCAAATCTGAGCATACGGGTCTACAGCATTTCCGCCTCCATCGGAAATGCAGATGCCGCAGCTGGGATTCGATCCCATGACCTGCGGGTCGGCAACCAAGTACCTTAGCCACTAGACCACTGCGGCGGGGCATGAGCGATACCATTCAACAGTATTGTACGCATCGCTTTTTCCAATGTAAGCAGCCATTGTATTACACCGGAAAAAGGGTTTCTGCATCCCTTAAGGCATGGTCAACTGCAAAAAACACCCTGCAGTTGAATCCAATATAGGAGGTATGCACTTGACGTCATTCCCGAGGATCGATAGCGTCGGGGGTTGCCATTTTAGGGGTCGCTAGCGCCAGAAGTCGCAAACTCGCCGTATGCGCAGTGTTCGATATCTGTACGGCTACTTGGATCTCTGTCATGAATTTTTCTCGGGAGCGTTTGCGAAGGATGGATTTGAGAGACGCGAGAGAGACGAATGTGGCAGAACAAACAATTTATCACCCAAAACGAACAAGAATACACAGAATCTACCTTAAATAACAATAACTCAAAAGCTGTATAACCAATACTCAATAACCTTGACATCCATTCACGTACATGGGGAAACCATAGTTGACTGGCTCATTCCCAATCCATTGTTAGTCCTAAGCCGATATGGCGTCTACAAAGAATAGTTCTTACAGCATGTAGCGTTGCGACTCGTTGCTTCTGCTGTATTGACAGTTCGTCAGTTTTGTTGACGTCTCCCAAGTTCCTACCGTAGTAGTCTTTCGCCGAACGAGCCACTCAACCTCACTGCCGGTTGGTTTCGGTCTTCGAGTCGAGACGCCTAACTTGTCAACGACGTCTCGACTGAGGTGTGGGTCGCATACATTGTTTCGTAGTGGAGGAGCTGAAGCCCACCCAGGAACTGCTGCGACGGGTTGTGGCAAGTCCGGGCAGCCTCACTCGATTCCTCTGATAACGACGGCCACTCCCCGAACCCCTTTGCTGACATGCTCGGAACCAGGCGGTTCTACTGCGACAATCGTTTCGCACGTCTCCACAGCTTGGCGGCCTAACACGCAGTGCCAAATCATCCTCGGGGACTATTCTTCCCGGCTTGGGTCGCGTGCCACGAGCCTTTCTCCGACCATGTCTTGCGCCTACGTGCCTGGTGCATGCGCCCTAGAGTGACCTATTTCTTGTCACGCACAGTCATTGCGCTTTCACGTTCGACACACGCCTAATGCCTCCTCCTTTACTCATCGCAATGTCTAAAGAACTGCAGAACACATACTGCACTTCGAAGCACGGACAGAGGATGGCACATACCAACGGACCTTCAGAATGGCACAGTGATATTGTTGCCCCTTTGTGAATCAAGGCCCTCGAGATGGTGCCAGCGTCGAAGAGGTAGCGAATCCATCTTTGTGGTCTCTCTCCCGGCCGCTGCGATCAGGCAGTCGCAGAGCGTTCAGTAGTATGTAGGTGTTCTGTGTTCTGTAGGTGTTCTGTGTAGGTGTTCTCCCGGGTGCACGTCCGTGCGAGACTTGTGAATTGGTGACTGTGCCGCATTTGGCTTCTACAACCACTCAAGTAAGAAGGCTGGTCATGAGAATGCGTCTGATGGTGGCTTTTTTTTTTCCATACCCAAAACGATTGTAAACTGATCAAAAAGGTTCGAATGGCTCAGCCACACACTATACCACGTGCGGATTAAACATTCCATCTCATTTCCAGTAAGTGTGCAGAACCTATGCAACATCATAGAGGTTCGCTTTTGTGGTGAAAAACTTCGGTGTTTGCGACGTGCTATGAAGCTTTGTTTACGCAGCAGGAGACGAGCGCACGCACTACGACCGTGATTGCTGCTCATCAGCGGTGTGCGGCACGTTAGTATTTCGGTGTGTTGGTAACAGTCGGCAACGCAGCGCGTTCTCGTTGAGCCATTCTTTGACGAGCTGAGCACATAAACGGTGATATCACATTAACATCGATCAGTTACAATCGAGACCGTACGTGATCTCTGTGTGCGCAACTGCCCGACGCGCGTCATTGAACCCTGCAGCAAAGAGCATTTTTGATAGCAAGTGGCTTGGCCTCAACCACAAACAAACTATGCCAATTTTATCACCTCACATGCTCTTGTAAATGGTGAAGCCCTTCCACGCAAAGAATTCGTGAAGCGACACCAACGCGGCGGAAAAAAATTATGCGTCGGAGCACTGAGCAAGGGGAACCAGTCACATTTCCGACTATGACGCGGCGGCTGTCTCCGAGGTCTCCAACTTGGTGGTGTTGGATCCAACAACACCAAGTTATATAGTTGTGAGTGTCCAATTTAGAGGCTTTAAGCTCGTCCCTTGTTGCGAAGCTTGTGCCGCTAACCAAGTGTTCCTTAATGTCTGTCAGCTCTATGCGGAAATAACACTTCACAACACACACAGCTTCATCACTGCTGAAGTTGAACGGGTCGATATCCGCCTCAATGGTGAACCTTATGTTCATAGTGAAGTTTTGTTGGACCATAGAAGTCACGTGCAGAAGCACTCAGTCGAATTTCACCACGTTGGTACCGTACGTAACTGCACGCACACACTGTCTTGGCCACTTGCCACTGCAAAAAGGGAGCGCCCAGACCACTAACATGGCGGTAGAGGCAAACGCCGCTAGCGCCTCGGGCGGATGACGTCAAGTGAAACCCTCCTATACACCCTCTCAACCAAACAGATCCGCCATTAATATATCAAGAACACTTGATTCATAAGTCACAGAGCAACACCAGCACGAATATGCAAGCATGTTTGCAAATGCTTAACTGCACAGTAATGTATAGGGCTGTTTGCACACCACTCATCTTATACACAGCATCCGTAACAAAGGTTCCTGCAAGGACACAAGTTGTCTTTGATCTGCAATGCTACAACTTCATTGCACTCAGTATTTCCACTTATGCGCATTTATATAAAGCCTGGCTTGAAGAAGTACATGAAAAGAAATAGACAAGCGGCAAAACTTCGTCAGAATGACTGCATGTTTACACAAGATTGGGTGTATTTCGGCTATAACCCATTCCGCGACTCGCCGTTCAAATGAGGTCGAAAGCGGAAGTGGCACAGTTAGCTAAGCTAGACAAAGGGCCTAACAACGATGCCAATGATAAAGTGGCCGACACCTCGCAAAGTTCCAATATATTACAACCCTGACAGTCGTCGGTGTTCCACGTGTGGACCAATCGGCACAACAAAGGCGCAACTACGATACGCGCGCCGATAAGATGGGGGCTTGTATGTATACAATTCGAACGGCACAATCTACGGACTCGCATACTCGTCTCGTATAAATGAGTCACTCATGCGCTAATTACGTCATAGAACACTGCCGTGAACAAGAGCCGGCACAAAGCTAGCCGGCGGCATGTTTGTTCAGCTTGCGGGAGAAGCCAAAGCCGTCGTCGCGACGAGAAACAACTGCGCACTCAAAACAACATACAGCCCACAGGGCAGCGCTCAACGCGGCTTGGCGCTATGCACTTGCAAGCTGCCGCAAACGCGAGAGCAGGTGCGACGAACAAGAAGACTGGACAAAGCGGGGCGGCGGCGAAAAGCGTGACGCACCTTTTGGTCCTCGTTGAGTTCCTTGCCTTGTTCCAGCTCCTTCCTCAGCTGTTCCAACTTCCCCTGTGCGCGAAAAAGCAGAACACGAGTCAAGAACGGGTGAACAACGGTTTCTCGCGATTCATTCGCACCCGGCGGCACTTTGCCAGCGAAAAAACGTGGGCACTAGCCACCCGGACGTTGGAAGTCCCTTGGCATGCCTATTGATACCTGGTGCGAGTGAGATCTACGACCGCGTTATCGAGTACCACGTGTGACAATTGCATGCAAACTTCCGTCAATCGGTGCGAAAAGCCAAGGCAACCTGACAAGCAAATTGTCCCGGAGGCACTACATCCTTAAACGACGACACGCCAGGTTCCGTGCATGGCACCAGTTTAGGCTTAAAAACGTGCGTCTCCACGCAGCAACAGTGCGAACTGTGACGCCGGGCAATCGCCAACGCTTGCCACATTGAGCAGCGTGCGTGAAAGCATCGAGCACGCCTCGTAGGGCGAGTGTTCCGTGCTAGAAAAAGGGCTGCACAGCCAGCCTAGGCTTAGCGTGACACGTAGGGTCGCCGGGCACGGCCAACGATCAGAAGCGGTGAGCCACTGAGTGTACTACCTTGCGCTTTTCGAGGTTCCTGGTCTTCTTCTCGAAAATGGTCACGATGCTCTTGAGGGAGTCCTGGCCCTCCAGCGAGGCCGGTTTCTCGATCTTGGCAGCGGCCGACGGCATGCTTCAACCAACAACAGCGTCAAGCTCGGCGTGCGTGCCACTTGCGCTGTCCCAAAAAATGTGATACGAAAATTGGGTTCCGTCGCTTTTGTAACGTCTTTTGTACGAAACTGCGCCTTGGCCACAGCTGCAACACTAAAATGAAAACGAAACTGCAACAGTTTTTTTTTTTCTACGCGTGGCACTTCAGTACAGATCCTGCATTTGTAGTTTTATGCCAGGTTTTAACAATGATTACGATAAACCGAAAAAAATCAGTTACTCAGTAGTGTCTTGCAGAAACAAACTGCTTAGGTATGCTTGAATGTGGCGTGAAATGCATTTCGTTAAACGTATTTCGCACCGCAGGAAAGCGTCCCACGAAATACAAAATTTATGAAAAACGTCGAACCGCAACGGTTACAAACAAATTTAGACTTCTTGGCCTACTATAAGTCCTAAAATCGACATTTTTTTTCGTAATGTAGGAATGGCGCCTGCAGTGTAACAGCCATGCAAAATTACATGGCTGTTACACTGCAGCTACACCAGACATGTTCATAACGTCTACTTCGGGACAAATAACTGCAGTAAAAGCTCGTAAATTTGGATTCAACGGGACAGCGTAATTATCCCAGTTAAAAGAATGCGTAATTATCGAAAATATCGAGGAAGCAATTATCGATGCCTTAAGGCATGGATGATTGGTTGGTGAATACGCAATTTATTGGTGAATAAGCAAATTTTGCACTAATTTGGACATTGGCAGTGTAAAAACCGCAATTTCCATCATTCATGACGTCGTTCGTGATGTGACCGCAGCTCAAGAACACCATGTCTTAAGGCGAAACGTGTTCTTAAGTTCGAACAATCCCTTAATCATTACGTACAGCCACCAACACCAAGCGCACGTGATAATATATATATATATATATATATATATATATATATATATATATATATATATATATATATATATATATATATATATATATATATATATATATATATATATGTGTGTGTGTGTGTGTGTGTGTGTGTGTGTGTGTGTGTGTGTGTGTGTGTGTGTGTGTGTAGGGTACGCTAACACAGGAAGCACCAAGTTGTTGAACGTGAGAGGCTTCACTAATCTCAAACTTTTATATCGCGCCTGATCCCACACTTGTCAAGAATTGGCTGACAACCATTATTTTTACAATGGTCCGCCAAGTGGCTAAGTCAACAGCGAAGGGCCTAAGAAAAAAGCATGCACTAAGAAACACGCTGAGCGCTATGTTGAATGTGTTTTAGCGATTGTATGCAAGATATTGTTCACTTGTGGGCTCTGCTACATTGGCCGAACAGACCGATGCATAAATAATCGACTGAGGAAGCACGCTTACTCTCTAAAAGGCTCCGTTTCCAGCCACTTGGCGGACCATTGTAAAAAGTGTGGTTGTCAGTCAATTATCGACGTGTGTGATCAGGGGCGATATAAAAATCAGTGCGAGCGCGAGATTAGCGAAGCCTTCCACATTCAACAACTTGGTGCTTCCTGTGTTAGCGTACCCTCGATATTTCTTCGCGGCCGTGAAACTAGTTATCTGGGTCCTCTGATATGACTGGATCTTGGTAAGATAGGTCGTTTGGCGCATGTATGTGCGATTTTATGCACTGATTCTGTTTTTACTATATATTGCAGTTGGTTTGCAATAAACTATGGTTGTCAGTTCAGCGCTTTGTTCTCGATCGTCTCTTCTATTCCCTCCGGTCGTTTGCGCTGTTAAGCACTTCCTTCGTCTACCATGCAATGCCAACCAGCGTAATCAAGCACTTTGTTAACGCAGATGTCGTGCACGCAACACATTCTGCGTTATAAAGTAATTTACAAATCACCAAAATCTAAACCTTGCTTAATATAATTTAATTATTCATTAAAAGTATTCGTCATTTTAAATGCGAAGCATTTCTTAGCGAACTTCGGCGACTTTGAGCGTATGCATCTTTCTAGCCGCTTACGTTCGGGTGCTCTCGTGGTCACCCGCGTAACTTGGCGTGAACCAAAATTAGCATGGGAGGGTAAGATAGCTTGATGAATATGAAGCGCTGGTTAAGACATGAATAATGTCACAATCCCGTCACGTACGTCATCAAACACTTCTCGCCAGACAGTGGCACATACCCACGGGCGGGTACGTGCCGCTGGTATGTGGGTATGTGCCACAGGTGATTACACTTGGTGTCTACCCAGGAACGAAGAGAACACACATGGGCAATCTTAAAGCGCAAGCGTTAAGAAATAGCCGACATCGCCGGTAGCGTCGACCCGACGAATGCAAAGAATAAATGTCAGGGTTCCAGCTGGAATCGAACCGAAGCATTCTGCGTGGCAATGAAGCATTTTACCACAGAGCAACGCCAGGTATCGCATCTACTTTTCAAACAGACGCTAATCTTCATGAAACGTCAATAGTAGTTGCAGTGCTGCCTACCCAATTTTATTAACATCACATATGTACTCGTTTTATACAGCCGTCACGTCATGTTAACGTCATTTGTGGTTAGTTGCCATGCGCTGAGGTTGAGTTATGTAGCAGTCCAGGGCCAGCATCCTCGCGTGCATCAGCGCTTCATATCGTGCACCTTCTGGTGTTGCGCATGTTCCAGTGGGCATCGTTGCGCAAGTGCAAGCAACTGGTTACATGAACATCTGCAACTTTTCCACATATGTCTGTGCGTGCGACATTTGTACATATATTTAGCGTCATTTCTTGACGTGTCGCTCAATAAAAAAAATTACAACATGGTCACCTTTCCTCCGCATGCTTCGCATAACGTCGTTTCTCAGGTACGTGGGATCTGCCATTTTCACTTTTTTTTCCTTAGTTGAACTATATTTTTGTTTTATACACTGTATTTACTTGCAATATTTTTGTTTCTTGTTTTTTATCTTGATACGTGCATTACTTTATTTGAGTTTTATTGCCCGAACTGCTGGTAACCTTCACCGAGGGTTTTGTTGTGGTTTGTACCTTAGGCCCTCATCTGTATAGATTATGCATTGCAGTTATCCAATGCTTATCGATTGCCTAAAAAAAAAAAAAAAAACTCAGGCTTGGTAGGTGATTGTGGTAGCATGTCGGTTGTGGTTGTTGGGTTCAGGCTCGTGAGTGGTGGTTCGCTGGACACGCGGCGCCATGGATTCAGCTGTATACGGGGGCAGTGCCATTTCTAGAATGTATGGTAAATCATCTGCGCACTTCTGCGCCATCTAATTATTTAATAACTTGCCGACATCAATAAATCTAATATATCTTTATTTTATTCAAAATTGCACTAAAAGAATACTTAATTGTTAAGTATTTGATCGGCCTTTTCCTCTATTTGTACCAGATTTGACTTATTTCATATTGTATTTATTATGTGTTTCTCGGTTTCATGCCCTCTTGTTTTTCATTATGGTTTCTGTACTGCTTGTTTTCTTTTCACAGTTCAAACAGGTGCCAATCCTGAATTGTTTTATTTATTTGTAATAATCACCCAGGGTCCCGATGCAGTCTTGCCCTTAGGGATCTTCATATGTACATTTTAAGCATCCTTCTTTGTCATAGAGATAGATAGATAGATAGATAGATAGATAGATAGATAGATAGACAGATAGATAGATAGATAGATAGATAGATAGATAGATAGATAGATAGATAGATAGATAGATAGATTAATCGGGTGGAGTTTAAATGGTGTTTATTTTATAGTCCCACGTTACCTCGGTACTCACCTTCAAGAGCATGCATGCTGTCATGTCCACTACGAAAGGAGAGGAACGCTCCGGAGTCATGGCAAGCCGAAAGCGCAGCTTGCACAATAAGCTGCGCAACCTTTGAACAGCGAAAACGAACAATTCTTAAGTGTATTCTGGTTATATGTAGGTTGTTTCTGTAGGCCTTAGCATAGGTGATGCATGTCGTGTCTAGTTCGGTCGTTGGTAAAAGCCAGACCTGCAAGCCAGGATTTTTTTTCTTGGTGTCAGGGGGGGGGGGGGGGGCTTTTGTTGAAAGCTTAAAGAAAACACATTTTTATTGTTTGGTCCTCGTCAAAACACCCCCTCCACCTGAATTTCGAGAGTGGGAAGAGGGGGCTCCCTCCCTGGCTGCGGGCTTGCCAAAGGCTTCACCTACACGTGATACTAGCTTGTTTTTACGTTGATTGCCAGCACAGAGATGTCCGGCTTAAGCCACATACTGTCACAGAGACACTATGTCCAAGCTCCAGGTACAGAAGCTCGTTCTGAAACCAAACGGTCGCACCTCTATATACGGTACGTCGTCGTTGGTGCAGACCTTTCATTGCCGTTCGGGTTCTTCTCGTAGTCACGTTTGCCCCTTCCTGTTCTGTATAGTGTACTCTCGCGATGTAGTACCCACACTCGAAGTCTTCGTCTCACCGCCGTCACTTCGCAGCCGTTTTTCAGGTCTAACAGTTGCCTTTCGTGGACCAGTGGCGCGATTGACCCATGATGATGTTAGTTTTCTGATAGGCCACCCAAGTTTCTGTGGCACAAACCTGTTTGGCGGCTTAACTGTTGCCACATTCATCGACCATTGAATAAATCCTGCCATACTCATCAGCACTGGTCCACGAAAAGATTTAGTGGACCATGCAGTGGTGAGAAGTGGAATTTCCCAATTTATGTGGCAAGTACCCGTTTATGATTTTTTTTCCAGATAGGCCTGACAGTGGCCCACACCGACAGGCCACCCAAATTACTGCTATCCTAAATAGCGACGCTGTTTGGCGAGCGACGTTGACAGCACTAAAGGTACCAAAGTTCCTTATGACACATACCCGCATACTGCGGCTGAGATTTAGTTGAAGGTACATCAAGTCATAATTGCGAATAGGTAAATAAAATGTCCATAAGGATGACCTGCGAGGAACAGAAGGTGAGTTTATTCTGAATCACACGAAAATGAAATGCCACTTTTGGGACATGCCTCGTCTGTGCTTCAGCGCTATAGCTAAAGGAACGTCCATATTCTTGCTTGTAAGCGTGACGTTTTAATAAAAGGGTAATTCACCAATCACACATCCACGTACAGAG